ACAATCTGTGGCTGATCCCATGCAGTTTCGGAGCGGTCACGATACCCAATTCCTCCTCACAGAGATTCAGCTACCTCCCCTTAGCCAATTATGTTAGCGTTAACGTACCTGTCTGATAATGTAGCGGCCCGTTTACCAATTTGAGCTTTAAAAATGTATTTTAATGAAGTTGATGTTACGTTTACTTAAGTTATTTAAGTAATAATTAAGTATATTTAACGGCATTTACTTCACTGCGTTTGTGCCTGCAGATGAATCTTCAGCGAAGCTTCAAAATGAAAAACGCGCGTTAGGTGTGTTGATCCGCCCAGCCTCTGTAACGAGTCCGTGTTTGGACTGGGTGTTTTCTGTGGGCGAGGCCTCACTCTGGCAGGTTAATAAAATTGAATGCGACTGTCAGACGGATCTGCAGACTTGAGGGCGGATCCGCCCCGCAGTCCGCTGCTATCTGGGTAGCCTATAAAACCTAATAATGTACAGGGTAACCTAACGTACATTTTATGTAATTTTAGTTTTATTAACACATTTGATTGTAATTAAGCTGGTAAGGCTATGTGTGGGCATGGCAATATCAAACATTATTTGAGTTTGGAGGTAGGCTACTACGATTTGTTTTGCTTATTAAGCAACGTTTTCATTTGGCTATGCCTTTTCAAGTAATGTTGCACGTCACTGCAGGTCGTTTGTTGCGGCAATAATCTTCTGACTTTAATTTTGGCTATCTGACTGATTTTCAATCGGGTGCGGGTCGGATGTCGGTATTTATTTAGAGCGGGTCGGATCGGGTGCGGAATTTTATTTCTGTCGGATAACGGTTAGGATACGGGTTTGAGTATGACTGTATGGGCGGGTGCGGTTTGTCAAAATCAGACCCGTGCAGGACTCTGCTGCCAGGTGCAGCAATAATCATATAAATAATTTTCATACAAATCATATAAATAATAAAGTATTATTTGACATAACTTGCGTTATTTTTGTGGGCGAGAAGCGTAAATTTCTGCGGTAGGGCGTCTTAGCAAACAGCAAGTCGTCCTTAGGTCGTCCATAGGACGTCCTCTTTTGGTCCGGATCTTGTCCTCAAAGGACGTCCTTAGGACATCCTGATGGAAAGTTTTTTTACGTCCTTAGGATGACTTTTAAGGACGTCCTAAGGACGTCTAGAGGACCAGTTATGGACCTTTTAAGGACATTTTCAGGACCAGTTATGGACATTCCGAGAACATATATGGACTTCCCGGGAACATTTTAAGGACATATTGTGTGAACATATTATGGGCATTAAGCCCACGTAAATCCCTTTTTCTGAATAATTAATATTTGACATTTTACCAGTAATACTACCCAGTAAACATTGGTCCGACGGCGACGTTGTGTCCCCGGCCAAAAACAGTCGAGGTAAGACGGCATAAATCGGTAAAAATATGTAACACAGAACATTGCCTAAAAATGCATTAAGATACATTTGTACATGTCTACAGTTGTCTGGGGTTGCATGTATAGCTGTCACTTTGAGTTTTAGCTAAGTGAAATATTAATAGTGAGTGCATGTGTGAGCGAAGGTCCACTATGTGACGTCCTTTACACGTGCATTTACAGTCCATCATGATCCTTTATTAAATCCACTGTGAAATTGAGCACGAAACATGCAAATGCGATTGTGATTACACCTTGGTTAATACTGCAATAAAAAGTAAGTGCCCCGAGTAGT